CAGGGGGCAGGGCTGGCTGGCATGTGGTGCTGGGGGATTGAACCGAGGTCCCTGTGCTTTGCTTGGCTTAGCTTGTTCTCAGTAGGTGCTTTAGACCACTGAGCCATCTCACCAGCCCTCTCTTGCCTTTTTAAGTTTGAGTCCGATTTTTGATTTTTGGGTTACAATACAAAGTAGTTTTTGAACATGTACATGATGTATACTTTTTTGTTTGTTTGAGGCAGTATCTCCCTATGTAGTCCAGGCTGGCCTTGAACTCATACTGATCCTTCTGCCTCAGCCTCCTGTGATGTGTACTTTTTTTTTTCTTTCATTTTATGTATTTGATACAGGGTTTCGTTATGCAGCTTGGACTTGTAGCGATCCTCCTGTCTTCAGACTACCCAGTGCTGGGGTTACAGGCTTGCACCACCACCCCTTGACTCTGTCACAGGCTTGGCACAGCCTCATGGGGCAGGGCCATCGAGGCATGGCGGATGGTGTGATATGTACTTTTAAAGAAAAGGTTGGCTTGTTCTAACAGGTTTCAAAACTGAAAGATCCATGGGTTGCAGTTGTAGGAAAGGGACAGGGCACACCACTGATGTCCATTTTCGAACTTGGAGGAAGCAGGTGGCCATTTGGCTGTGTTTGGTTTAGGCGGTGTGAGTAGAAGTGTGAAGAAGGCTTTCAAGAAGACTCTTGATTAAGGAGTGGCCAGGTGGGAGCTGAGCACCTTTTATTCTTTTTCATTTTTCTTTCTTCCTGCTATTTGGAACTTGAGATATGATCTGTGGAACTTTAGCAGCTACCTTGGACCATAAGGTGACAGAGAGAGAGAAAGAGAGAGAGAGAGAGAGAGTGAGAGAGAGAGAGAGAGAGAGAGAGAGAGAGAGAGAGAGAAACTTAATCATTTAAGACCTCTGCCATTGATCTGCACTCCCAGTCCTTTCCAGTCTGTTATCAAATCATTAAGGTCAGGTTCAGCTGTAAGTTCAGCTGTAATAAATGGAAAACAAAATAAAATGTTTAAGGCAGTGATTTAAATGTGACAGAATTGTTTTTCATTTTCTAAAAAATAAGTTTTAGAGCTGGAGAAAGAGGTCAGAGCACCTGCATGGCAAGCGCAAGGATCCAGGTTCAATCCCCGGTACCGCATGCAGGTCGGCCCTGAAACCACGTGTGGTGGCTCACACCTGTAATCCCAGTGCGGGGAAGGCTGAGACAGGAGGATCACTGATTCTGAGCTGCATAGCAAGACCCTGTATTACATACATACATACATACATACATACATACATACATACGTCTAGACAGGGAGATAGCTCAGCGGCATAAGCGCCTGCCTGACAACCACACACATAGCCCAAACAGCCTGGTCTGCCAAATAGTTCAGCGGATTAAAGTGCCTGTAAGCAGGAGCAGGGGCGGAGGTTCGATCCCCGGCCTGCAGTGCTGGCTCCCCCCCCCCCCCAGAAGGCAACTGAGACTGGGCGCGTGGTGGCGCGCGCCTGTAATCCCAGTTCTTGGGAGGATGTAACCAGGAGGATAATAAATCGGATCTACGCAGTGAGACCCTGCAGACCCTGCCCTAAATACAAAAACAAACAACAACAAAAATAGCCCTACAGTCCCTGAGCGCTAGGTGCCTACTACTGCAGACTCAACTAGCCCGGGCTTTTACTGGCGGCGATTTGGGCCTCAGTTTCCCAGCCTTGTGTGTCTCCATGAACACAAAGGCTGTCTTTTCCCAGGGCCGGGGACGCAGGTAAAGAGGGGAAAGGAAAGCCAGGAGTGGTGATGCACGCTTATCATCCCAGCATTTAGGAGGCCAAGGTAGAAGGATTGCTACAAGCGGGGCTGGGAACAAGCGGGCGCGCTCGGCTGGTTCTGGCCGTCTGGAAGGGGCGCCCCTAGCTCCCTGCCCGCCAGCGCGAGGCCCGCGCGCCCCCTGGAGGCCGAGGTGGGCACCGAGCGAGCTCCGTGCAGGAGGCGGGGGTGGGGGGGGGGGGGGGGGGGCGGCTGCTTCGCAGCACCGGTGGGTCCTGGCCACCCCCTCCCCACGCCCGGCACCGGGAGCCCTGTCCCCGCCCCGCGGTGGCGCTCTTCACTCCTGGTGCAACAATTTCACCTTTGGTATGGCTGCTAGGAAGTTGTGGGGTTTCTGGTACTGGGGATAGAACTCAGGAGCTTACGCTTGCCAGACAGGCGCTTATGCGACTGAGATATCTCCCCCACCTGCTAGAAAGTTTTTAATTACTCATATAGACCCTATTCCATTTTCCTAACTCTGTTCTAGTGAGCGGGTTCTCAGAAAACTTGAGTTTCATTTTTTGATTCCACTGCAGGCCCCAAGGTTTGGGCATCCTGGCACCATGGAAATGGAGGGGTAGGGACAAGCCCATGGGTGTGACTCCCTAGGCAGGTCAGCCAGGTGGCATCTGGTGGGGTCCCAGGTGGCAGGAGCTCGCAGAGACTGACCGACTGGCCAGGGCTGGAGACTGCCGCTCCCGTCCACGTTTGGGTGCCAGTGCTGGCCATGCCACTTGCTGCGACCACGCTTGCTGGGCACCACACAAGCAGCTGGTAGCAAGGCAGGCCACGCAGGAGGGCATCAGGGGAGAATGCTTATTTGTTACCAGTATGTTTCCAAGGTCTGCAGAAACAAACCAGTACTTTACTTTTAGGTTCCGGGGATCGAATTCCAGCCTTTCGCCAAGCTACATCCCCGCCTTTTTTCACATGGAGACAGTGTCTAAATTGCCAAGTTGCTCAGACTGGGCTCCAATTTGCAATCTACCTGCTATGGCCTTCCAGAGTGTTGGGATTACAGGAAAAGGTTTTCTTTGTTTTGTTTTGCTTAAGTGAAAATAAAATATCTTTATTTTAAATTTTTATTTTTTTAAAATATATCTTTTAAAAGTGCTGCTCAAGGTGGAGGATGTAGAATGCATGAGGTTCTGGTTCAATCCCCAGCACCAAAAGAAGAGCACCATTCCACACTGAAATGCACGGACAGCTCCTGCAGGGAGCTGCACAGGGCTGGCTGAGGTGGCAGGGACCAGGGCCAAGCCACATTCACCCAGCGCCCTCGGTGCCGGTCGCTTGTCCATCACAGGGCACCTAGAAGGCCACATCTTGGGAGTCGGCATCTACCCCACTGCCTCTGACCACTTGATGCCGGGTCTTGGGAGCCAAGCCAGGTGGGAAAGGGCTCTGGGATACCAATAGGCAGCTCAGGCTCTAACAGCAGCTATCCTCACTGTGGGGATGGAAGGGGACACACACCACACACACAGGTGCTGCTCTGTCACCCTCTGACATTAAATCCAAGGGGCCTGTGTAACTTCCATTGTAAGAGGCTGTGGCACACACAGCAGGTCAGACCTGGGTGTGCCAAGCCCTTACATATATAACTGCCATGCACACCTTTCAGGTCCAGGGACTAGGGAATCAACCCTCCCATCAGCCCAAGTTCTAGGAGGGGATGATGCCCAGGATCCAGTGCCACAGCAACTCACCCTGTGGAGACAGTGGCTTTCAGGAACAGCATTAGGGAGATGTTTGGGTGAGTACAACTCCTGGGGTGTTGGGGACATGGGGAAGGGGCAAAGGCCGGCTCCTAGGAAGCTCTAGGCTAAACTCTGGGTGTTTTCAACTCTCCAAACCTGTCTTGAAGCCCTGATGTTACAGTGGTTCTGTCTTTCGGTGTGGTCATTATGGGTTGTCTAGTTGTCCCCTCAAAGCCTCATGCAGTTATGGGATGGGGACTTCTAGAGTTTGAGATAAACTCATGATCCACTGGGATTTTGGGTTTTAGTACTGCTGGGATTATGGGTGTTACACGCAGCCTGGGATGGATAACCTGAATGTAACATAGGAGTGACAGACAGACTTCTCTGTTGCTACTGTTGCTACTTCTCCCTTGCCTCTTCCTGCTCTTTGCCACTGCCATGAACTGCTGCTCTCTGCCCTGTGCCACTCTGCCTTGGAGCCAGCCAAGTATGGACTGAAACCTCCATTAACTGAGCTGAATAAACCTTTCCTGTCTTCAGCTTGGGTGCTGGGTATTTGTTTCAGCAAAGAGAGAAGAGTAACTGAGACAGTAGTGTTGCTCAGGTTTGTGTGGAACTCTCAGCTGCAGGGGTCTTTGGACAGCCAAGTGCCAGGGCCCACAGAGGCCTACCAGTGCGTAATACTGACCACTAGCTAATGAACTAGAACTTGGCTGGACAAGGTGCCACATGCCTGTAATCCCAGTACTTGGGAGGCTGAAGCAGGAACTCCACCTTGAGTTCAAGGCCAGCCTGAACTATATACTGAGACCCTGTCTCAAAAAACAAAAAAAATGCAAAACCTCATAGCTGATATTAGCCAAGATCAGCAAGTCCCACCTACAACAAACTCTCTATTTTGCTTTTATGCACAAATGCAGTCAAGAGGGCTTGGGTCCGTGCCACCTCCCTAGAGGACTACTGCTCTAGCAGGTGGTTGTGGCAATGCAGAATACATGGTTCAGGGAGCAGTGCAGAGGAGGAAAGAACACAGGAGACCCCAAGAAAAAATTCAATCTCCCTATCTAACAAAAGCAGCAGTCTCCCTACTGGACAGACTGATGGAGCAGTGATGCCCTCTAGTGGCCATCGAGGACACATGCACTGGACTCAATGGAGGTTGGCATTGGGCACTGAGGGGCTTCAGACAGGTCAATGCTGGCAGCTGCCACACTGGCAGGGAGGACTCCTCAGCAAGACTTGCAGGCTGTAAACTCAGGTGCTGAGGTAGATATGGGCCTCCAGACTCAGGAACTGGCTTTTGCTGCTCTAGTAGCTGGCAGTCAGGACGGGGGTGTGTGTGGGGGGGAGGGCTGCTATTACAGCTGTGGGGACAGTTCTTCCCATGCCAACATGGTCATCCACCTGCTAAGACCTGTTCAGGGGAGCAGGGAACAGCAGGTGGGTGTTTTAAAAAGTGGGCTGTCTTCATGGGGCTATCTTATTGATTGAGGTCCAGCCATTTGGCAAGGTATATACATTTTATTTAAAAAAGTTTACAGTTTTCATTATACACAACTATTAAGAGGTTATAGTCAGAGGTGGCATTTGTCCTGGTGACAGACGTGCCCACTAGATCATCACAATGCAAGGGAAAAGGTGGAAGGGGGGAGATGGGGCAAGGAAAAGGTAAGCAATAAAAGGCTTAAGATTTCAATTCAGGGCTGATAAGTCCCTTGGATCTTTTCAAGTATCACATAGTATGTACCAAATACAATCAGCAAATAACGGCCATTTCTTCCCACACCCACAGCCAAGTATTTGCTTAATGAAGAGCTCTTCCTCAGGAGGAGAAAGCTACACACCTCAACCACTGCTCCACATGGCCTGCTGGGGCTGCGAGAAAGTGGGAACATGGATTCAGAAGCCCAAGAAATGCAGCTCCTGTACCCAAACAGAACTGACGTGATTTCCCTCAACAAGGATGTGAACCCAGTTAGGAAATAGATGATGTAAAACCCCTGCTATCATTTATAAATGGCTTTCATGGTGTGTGTGAGGGGGGACATGCCACTGAAAACCAAGCACTAGCTCCAGGGTCAGGAAACCGGAGCCACGGAGGCTGGTGGAGGACTGCTCTGCCAGGAGTCTCAGCCATTCCAGTAGGAGGCCGAGGAAAAAACAAGCATTAGGCCAAGACCAAGGAGGACTGCAGGGAGCAGTGGGTGGGGGCTCCTGAGGCCCCCGGGTCAGCTGGTTGGCAAGCAGAACAGCTTCTGAAGTGGACAAAAACTTTAGTAACGGAGAGATTGTATGGCAACTTCTGACTGTTCTCTCACTGGTATAAAATGCGGGCTCAAACTGCAGAGCAACCTCAGTCTTGGAGGGTGGCAAGACTGATTGCAAAGAAGCCAAGACACCACTGCTGCCCACTGGGCCCAGTGATGAGCTTTTCCAGGCCACTAGGGATGCTAGCTGCAGCCACCTTGTTTGTCAGTGTTTGGCAAGAGCTGAAGCTCAGGTGTTGGAATGGGAGCACGGCAGGGCTTGTGCTGGTAAACTACAAGGTAGTATTTCAAAAATGCTGGACACTAAGGCCAGGAAAACCGCCAGCAGCAGCTCTGACCTCCCATCGCCACCTGAGACTGAGTTTGCCTCTCCAGAGCTCAGAAGGCCTGTGAAAAAGGGACACACTAACAGCACAGAAAGACCTTGGTGTCAATCACCTCTTGCTGCAGACCACAGGGGCCCAGAGTCTCAACCAGGCCTCTGCTCCCCCGAGCCTGGGAGTTCAGCCTCTCCCAACCTTGCCCAGGAGCCAGGGACAGATGGTGTTTAAAAGAATCCTGTTCAACCTACAAAGGGAAAAGTCCCGAAGAGCCCAACAAGCGGCGAGTCAGGGTCAGTGCCCAGGAGACCTGCGCAGAAGAGGAGGGAAGGGTGTGACCCGGGCACCAAGCCCAGGAGTTCCAGGTGCTAACAGAAAAGCTGCTAACACCTGCACCACATGCACTCAGCAGCCACACTTCACCTGGGGGTTAAGCCCAATTTTCATGTGGGCGCCAGTACCTCAGCCAGTGTCGCTGGGGCTCTGGAAAGAGGGCAAGTGAAGGGCTTTGCATGGGAGGAAAGTGGGGTCCCGTTGGGCAGTGCTGCACCACTCTTCACAGACCTTCCCTACTCTTTCTAGACAAGGTCAAAAGCAATTATCTGGACTTTTTTTTTTTAGGGGGGTAATTAGAACACTATTGTTTATACAATATTGAAAAAATACAATATTTTATTGTTTGAACTCAAATCACCACCCAGCACTTCAAGCCTACCCTAAGTAGCACCTAACAATAAAGGTTACAGCACAAGCAGACTGTGAATGCGGCAGGGAAGCAGGTCGGACAGCGCCAGCAGAGCCCCTCCCACCCCCAAAGCACGAAGACAGCGCGCTAGGTCAAAGTACACCATTCATTACATGTTACAGTTAATACTACCCTTCCAACGAGCCACGAATGCTAGCGCTAACTTGGTACAGTTAACTAACCACAGCCTTACAGAACTGCACTTTTAAAAAAAGAAAACCTCTTGCTTCGTGCCCGTAATTAATATAAGTAAATTCTTTGTCTTTTATTTAGGAAAATAATCATGCCAAAAGCAAGTCATACTTTTTCTAAGAAAAGATTGATTGTGCTTTTTGAGTTAAAAAAAAAATTAGGTATCTTCCAACCTCACTGACTTACATCTTATGGAATACAGCACTTCTAAACTAAAAATACATTAAAAAAAAATTCCAGGGAAACATTCAGAAGTTATCTTTAGAAGGTTTTAGGATTGGCTAATCTGCTACTGTCCTGTTGGTTGGGAGGGGGCAATATACAGAGCTGCTATTTAAAACTTCTCCAAATCCCTCTCCAGATTCAGCAGGTAACATTCCGATTTGAAAGAAATTCCACAGCAGCCTGGATGTAAGGTCAGCTGAGCAAATACTGGATTGACAGGCATTTTAAACAGATTGACTTGCTCTTAACACACAGGACAGGAAGCGTCCTTCACTAGCTATCCCCCTACATCACGTTCCCCAATACCTCTTTTCTAGCCAGTCACTCTCTGAAGAAAGCTGGTTTTCTCATGTTGAGCCACTTTGTGTATATGAACTTTTATTTGTTCCAGTTGTTTTCAAATTGAGAATCTGCTTTGGGTGTGAAATACCTACATCCCACTCCCCACAGGCAGACGGTGACCAGGCTGCTGAAAACCCGACATGAAGGAGTGCCCTGGGCCTGGAAGCCAACAGGCCGGTCTTCTCACATCTAGTGGTCCACTGAAAGGCTTGTCCAGGGAGGAGACATCTTGTAGCATGTGAAGATGACACCTGTAACCTGTCTAAGCATAATTCACACAAACTGAAAAAAAACCAAAACCAAAACCCCCTTCAGTTTGATTTAGTCCAGGCTGCAGTCTTGGGCTGGCCCAACACTAGAATTAGGATGGGGCTTTGCGTGTGTTTTTGATGAGAGGAAATATCTTCCAGTCACTTTTCTCCTCCTGTCCTCTCAAAGAAAAAAAAAAAAAAAAAGTCTGGATCACAAGCTGTACCCCAAGAAAAAGAATCAGGTTGTCCCAAAAATACTTCCAAGAGGTTCTCCAATGCACATTGTGGTGGCTGCAGGTCTGGTAGCGTGAAGGGCAGGAATCTACATATAAAAATGTACTTAAATCCAGTCAAAAATGTTTTCTCAATTTTCCAATTAGCTTCCTACTTTACATTGATACTCCACACAATGGGCCCACCTAGGACTCACGGGAAGGCCGCTGCTTTGTACGTGGCTGGCTCTACATGCTTCCAAAGCAGGCCTCTTCCTCCCCAATTTTTTCCTTTCCAATTTGAAAAAGCACTATTCTATCTTCACATCCAAGAGCTGGTTGGTTTGGTTTGTTTCTTTGGAACCATCAATCAAAAGAAGCAACTTTTCCTGTTAGTTTTACTCATATCTACCTATCAGAGTGGCTATGTGACATTCAGTAGCACACAGGATGCCTTGGCCAGATGGACTTATGAATGCATGCATTCGGACCGCATATTGCTACCAAAATGGAATGTGGGAATATGCTATGCACCTCAGGTTGAGAAATGACCAAGAAATCAAGATCTAAAGGGTGATATATAATATATATATATCAATGCTATTATTCATAAAAACCTTGTTTAGTAATAAAAAAAATTGCTTTGTTTAAATATGAATATTATAGTCTGCTTCTCATGGTTAGGAAATAATAGTCTTTCTGAAAAGCAGGTGCTTTTTCTACTACAACTCCATGTCCTGGGCTTCATCTTCCGAAAAGTCAGACATAGAACTCTCTGAAGAACTGTCTCCAGTACCCTCTTCCTGCTCCTTCAGGGCCTCCTCTGTTGCATACTTCTGGATGTACTCTGCACAGGGGTGGGAGAGAAGACACAAGGGTTAAGTGTGTAGCCGCCAAGTCCCTCAGTTAAGGTTTCCCTTCTGTGCCAGGGGTGGGAAAAAGGACAGCTGCTGTGGGTCCCTGAAGCTGAAGGCACACACACAGGGAACAGGGGAGGGGACGACCACTACAGGAGAGCAACACAGAGCACCTGAACTGCAGGTAGAACAGTACCCTGCAGCCCCACCCTGAGGTGCTGGAGGGGTAGGAGAAATGTGTGCCTCACACTGTTTTTACTTTCATGTCAATAAAATTATCTGCCTCCCAGATAGAACATGATGTTAAGATTCCATAGCGACTTACCAGGAAATCCCCATTGTTTTCAGATTCATAGTTACATAATTACAGCTAGCCTAGACTATTATTTTAGGAACAGACTTCAGTCCACACAAATCCTGCCTGTCAGGTTTTAGAAGCAGCCAGTGAGCACTGCCTTTAGGTCTGCTATCAGGAACAAGCTACTGTCTAGGGCATGCCCAGGAGCCTTAGTGATCTTACCATGTACCATTTACCTTGTGTTTATGCTGCCATATCCTAGGCTGAATCTGTTGGCCGACAAAGAATTTAGGAACAGCTGAATAAACAATCAACTTGTTCCTAAAAGTACACACTGTTTTCAAGTAAATCACCTACATACAATATGAAGAGACATACGGTGGGCATTCCATCAGTATGGCAGCCGGATACGCACACGCCCGCATGTCCTTGAGATTTGTCTTTTCTCTTACAGAGTTGCAGAAACTGTAATACTAGCCTCAGAGGGCTGCCAAATCTAAGGAGCCAGTGCAGGGGACTTGCTAGGAATAGTTCTCATACTTTCTTTTACAAAGTTTGTAGACAAGCATTAGTTTTTAAAATTTCTAAAACTGTACACCAAGATCATGAGATTAGACAAGCCTTCATCTAGGTAAGAATGTATCTAAATTCATGTTTAGAGAGAGAGGAATGTTTACTAATGCCTTAGAAATGTATTTTTGCCTTCTAACGGCAGGCCTTTCTGCTTTTTGTTTCATAGAAGTTGCTGCTTGGTGTGGTGGCACATGCCTGTAATCCCAGCACTCAGGAGGCTGAGGCAGGAGTATGTTTTGAGTTAGTGACCAGCCTGGGCTACAAAGTAAGCTCAAGGCCAGCCTGAGTTGCATAGGGAGACCTTATCTTAAAAAAATAAAATAAAAAAAGATATTGTTGCACTAGGGCGTTTTTTTTTTGTTTGTTTGTTTGTTTGTTTGTTTGTTTTTGTTCCTCGAATGGCTTCAGGGCACTTTTGGCCAGCGGGAGAGTTGTGAGGTTCGAACTCCAGCAACCTGAGGCTGAGAGCTTTGTGGAAGCAGCCACTTAAAGGCCTGAGCTAGGGCCATGCCCCCTTTTTGTTTGCTTGTTTGAGGTTTTTTTTTTGTTTTTGTTTTTGTTTTGTTTTGTTTTTGCGGTACCAGGGATTAAACTCAGGACCTTGTGCTTGCCAGGCAAACACTATTCTACTGAGCTATCTCCCTGGCCCCCAGGGCGTTGTTTATTGACACTCTTAGTGAAGGTGAGCCTTTTAGAACTTTTATATCCTGCTGCAGCATGCGTGCCATAGGCTTATCACTAATGCTCTAATACCTTACTAGCTTTCTTTAGAATATTCAAGACAGATGTGTAGGGAACACTTACTAAGACAAGGCCTTTTAGGAGACAGAGAAGTGAAGAGCAAGGCCACTAAGAAGCAGGGAGAACAGATGCAGGTAATAGGCAGAAGCTGGCTCAAGTGCCCTGCAGGAAGCATCCATGGAAGGAATTGGCTAAAGCCAGGGAGGCAGGCAGAGTCACAAAGACCTGAGCTCAGGGGCCGGGGAGATGGCTCAGTGGAATAAGCACTTTACTGGCAAGCGCAAGGGCCTAAATTCAATCCCCAGTTCCACAAACAAACAAACAAACAAAACCCTGAGTTCTACCAGCTGCAGTGGAGGACAGGCCATCCAGGGGAAGAATTTAGCCTCAACCCAAGTACATAGCTAGGGCATGAAAGTACCATATTAAGAGAGAGCTACCTATGTCTTCTTGGTCTTCGCAGTGGTAGATGTGGGTCTGTGGTAGTTAAGCTGTGTTTTCATGTAAGTGAAACTTCTCATGACAGGGACAACCTACTTTCCGGGCCCAATTCTGTCCCTCTTAGACAGAAGCTTTTTCTCTCTCAATCAATTCTTCCTGCTCTTAACCTCTGTTGTTTCTAGAATTTATTCCTTGATTTTATTTTTTTCTCCATAATTTTATTGAGAAACAAATAGCAATGAGACAGTTTCAAACCAAATTGGTAGGACAGTTTCAATAATTAATACATTGCATACATTCTTCCTAGTGGTTAATTGCTGTACTATTTCTTGATTTTAGAGAACACAAACTTGGCATTTTGTACATCTAGCAGGTTGGGAGTTTCTTTCTCCTATACCATTTGGAGACCCAGATAACTGGATGGAGGTTAAGAGTTTACTTTTTCTTCATAGATTCTGGATTGTGACTTGATTAGGGAATCATTAATTTTTATGCCTTAAATCTTTATGTCTTTGTCCAGTGCTTATAATTGCTCGTTTTATCTTACATAATCCTGTTAAAATGATAAATTTAAGTTAAAAATATAGGCCATGCCGGCCCTGCCCCCAGGGCACACTGAGCCGTGACTGGGACTGGGTGTGGTGGCGTATGCCTGTAATCCCAGCACTTGGGAGGCTGTAAACAGGGGGATCACTACAAGTCTGATCTAGTAGTGAGACCCTGAACACCCTGTAGACCCTTCCTTAAAAAAAAGTTAAAAACATGGAAAGTCTATTATGCTTCTGTAGTGGGATAATCTATTCCTATTTTGTATATGTTACATTTGGACTAGTTGCTGGACTTACTAGTGTTCCTTGTTTGACTGCTGTGATTAGTTATCTTAGCAGTGCTAGGGAAGATAGTATTTAGAGGTCCTCTTAGTGGATTTTGACATGAAATGCTATAAATTGGTCTATCAAATCTAGTTCATATTTAGAAAATATACATACCTATTGATAAAACACAGGACCTTAACTGCCAATTAAAAGACAAGGCCAGCAGCTGTTCTTAGGCCTTGGGGGACAGGTTTCACTGGGACAGACCGGCCCTGATCTTTGCACTCTAGAGGAAACATCAAGCCTGTTCTGCCTCAGTTTCCTTTTTGGTCTGATCTTTTGCTGGTAAAAAGGCAATCTTAGCTCTTGAGATTCCCCATTCTTGCCTCCCCAGGCTAAGAGTGAGAATTCATGGGCAGTCAACTTGTTTCAATAACTCACTGTGAATGTGAGAAGAAACAGCTTTCTTCTTCTGATCTTTTCCTGCCACTTTGTACTTTCCCCTACTTTTTAAAAAAATTTTATTTATTTATTTATTTTTGTGTGTGTGTGTGTGGCCAGCTCAGCCCACCAGGGGGCGGGGCTGGCAGGCATGTGGTGCTGGGGGATTGAACCGCAGTCCTTGTGCTTTGCTAAGCTTGTTCTAAGGAGGTGCTTTAGACCACTGAGCCATCTCACCAGCGCCCCCTTTTTTGAGGCATGTAAAGTTAGAGTGAAAAGAACTCTGAAGAGCCCCAACCTATTCCTCCCATCGAACAACTAAGTTAAGCCTTGGAACAATGAGCATTTGCTAACACTGAAGACCTAACTATACTTGTGATCCTACTGGCTCACCACAGTTTTGTCCAACACCTCAAATCTGTCTTGTGACTTGCCATTGGATCAATATCACCTAAGCAACTATATGTGTAATTTTATTTTATTTTTTGTTGGTGGAACCGGGGATTGAACTCAGGTCCTTGCGCTTGCCAGGGAAGTGCATATTCCACTGAGCCATCTCTCCAGCCCCTATATGTGTAATTTTAATAGTTGACTATAGTTTTGTCCCATCTTGACCTTGTCTCACCTCATGGCTTTACTTAATAAAACACCCTTGAAAGTGATGGGCAACTCACTTTCTGGGTCCCCTTATATCCTTTTTACAGAATCTTCCTTTTTAAATAACTTCTTTCTATGAAATAAGGAAGGAAGGAAGGAAGGAAAAGAAAGAAAAGAAAAGGAAGGAAAGAAGGCAGGCAGAGAGAGAAAGAAAGGAAAGAAGAAAGGAAGGGCTGGAAAGATAGCTCGGTGGTCTAAGTGCCTGCTGGCAAGCACGTGAACCTGGGTTTGATCCCAAGTACAGCATGCTATGCCAGTCTGGGAATCCCAGGTGCACCCTGTGAGCCACCAAAACTGGGAGTGGTAGCGCACACTTGTAATCTCAGCATGGGTAGGCTGAGACAGGAGGATCACTACAAGTCTGAACTGCGTAGTGAGATGCTGTACCAAATAAATAAATGGAATAAGGATTTTTTTGTTGTTGTTGTTCCTCACATGCCTTCAGGGCACGTTTGGCCAGCAGGAGAGTTGTGAGGTTCGAACTCCAGCTACCTGAGGCTGACAGCTTTGTGGAAGCAGCCACTTAAAGGACTGAGCTAGGCCCAGGCCCCCTGTACCAAATAAATAAATAAAAAGATTTTTTAAAAAAAGATTTCATGACTAGGGAGTGAATATAGCTGGGTACCTAAAACTCAATGAACTGCACTGTCTCACAGTGGTGAGCTGACAGGAGTAAAGACAAACAGATCATCAGCTCAGTACCAGGAAGCCCCAGATGGCAGGCTGATGCCCCTTTGTAAAGGTTTTTGAGCAGAGAAGTGACCATCTCTTTGGCCAACTCCAAGGATGTCTAGTTCCACAGGCGCTCAGTATTAAACCCTGTTTTCAAGGCTGCATGCTAAACCAGGATCACCTAGACAGGAATGCCCTAGCTAAGTAAGGGCAAGTACGCCTCACTGTGAGCTGAGTGTGCTGATTTGTGGGGAATTCCACAGTGGACTGTCCAGCAGGTGGCCTAGAAGAAGGGTAAGGTATGGACACACACATTTAGGAATCATCAAATGGAGTACCTGAAAGGTGAATTAGCTCCCTAAGGGGGAGAGGAAGAGGGAGCATAAGAACCAACTCATAGAATGTCCACATTTCAGAAATGGAATGAGTGGTTTTCAGAGAGATGGGAGTAAAACACTGAAAGCTACAGAGAGGTCCATGAAAATGGAACTTAAGAAGGGACCATGGGAAGAAGAAAGGGCCTCATAGGATTGGGACAAGATGTGAAATAAAAGACTGTGAAGGTTTAAGGCAAGGACGCAGGAGGCTTGAAAATGAAATAAATAGTTTAGTTCCTAAGAGAACCAACAGGAGCACCTCTTATTTCTTACAGGGACAACGGAATAAAACGATGGGGAAAGGTGCCATCTAAAGGCACAGCAGGAAGTGGTAGTGAGCTCAGGCCTGATGGCCATGATTCTCCCACATTATCAAGAAAGATATAATGATCCCAGCCATTAACACTTCAGAAAGCCAGAGAGGCATTTTAAGACAAACCCAGGTTGGGTTCCTTTTGTACCTGGGACCAGAGCAGATATGCACAACAACATGACTAGTGCTAAAGTGCTGAGGCATAAGGAATAAGAACTATAAAAATATACTCTGCACTGAACTATCTGGTTTGCAGACCCTGTTAAGTGATTCTTATGTCAAAATTTTAGCAGATTTTCATAAGAGAATTTTTCCTGGTTGAAAATGACTGCTCATTCATGGAATACATATTTGCTGGGTTTTACAGCTATTGTGTTACATAAATTTGATAATAATTTGTAAAGCACTCAGGACCTAAGTAAATTAATTAATTTATTGCTATTCTACCTAAACAAAAGCATCAAACAATATTCTATACAGACCCAGGGAGAATAACAGAAGTAAAGCAATCCTGTTTGTCTTCACTCTCCCATGAACTACTTCTACCATCATCTCTTGCAAGCATGCCTCGAAGGCCACAGCTTTTGAGGAGGCTGATGTTCTGTATCCTATGATGGGCAAGTTGTACTAAAAGCTGGTAAGATCCCAGTGTCTGCTATTTGTTAAGAGCAGATGCATTTCCACTGACTTCAATTTATCTCCTTCCTGATGAAGCTTTATGGACCCAGACTTTGCACTATGGAAGTTCTCAAAACGTACAAGGAGGAGAAAGGACAGGCCAGTGAACACCACCCACTGAGGGTGGTCTTTCCTTCTCATGGTACTGGGATCAAACCCAAGGTCTTTGCACTACAATACACCCCTAGCTCTTTGAGGCAGGTACCACTGTCACTAAATTGGCCAGGCTGGGCTTATACTTCCAAGCTCCATCTCAGCCTCCCAAAGTGCTGTAGTAGAGGCAATTGCCATCCTTCCTGGCCTCACTTAAGCTTTAGTGTTATTTTGTAACATTTTCCTCTTCTTTTTTTCTTCTTGTATTTTTAGGTAAGGGTCTATATGGTGTTCACTAGATCGGACTTGTAGTGATCTGCCTGTTTACAGCCTCCCAACAGCTGGGATTACAGGCACGCGCCACCATGCCCAGTGTCAACTGCTGTCTCAGCGAGGCCCAGGAGCAGGGCCAGCACAGGCAGGCTGGGGGATAGAACCCCACGCCCCTGCCGCTTTGTGGCCGGCCCACATTTTCCTCTTAATGATACTACAGTACCATAATTGTAGGAACACAAGATTCTAAACCCTAAAGGCACTCTAGCTGGGGCTGCTAGTGCTTGCATTCAAGGTTGCTCAGGCTATTTAAGTCTACAGCTGTCGCTTTAGGTCTGAGAAAATCAGGAGGAACTAGGTAACTCACAAAAGGTTCTAAGTGACTACAGCCCAAGAGATTAAAATTCTTCTGATTCCAGGTTAAACTGTGTGTCTCCTTACCTTTAATTTTCTGCTTGTATTCTTCTGGTCGGTGGAGGTACATAGCTGCTGCGTCACCATTGAGAGGATCTATGGGGTTAGGGTAGGCCAACAGCTGGGGCAAGAAGGACTCAAATATATTGGTAAGATCTGAAAAACAAATACAAGTTCTTCATGCTTGGGAACACAAGCATTCAACCACTGATTTCAGTAGTCAAATCTGCTACCTTCTTAAATATATCTAACTATGGGGATAACTTTTCCATAAATGTGTGTTCCACTATACAGAACAAACTATTTTTCGAGAAAGGGTCTTACTATGTAGTTTAGGCTAGCCTTAAACTCACTATATAGCCAAGGCTGGCCTTAAATTGGCAGTGATCCTCCTACCTCAACCTCCTTAGTGCTGGGATTATAGGCGCTTCACCTACCCTTTCATCCCCTTTTTAAAGGTCTTGCTAAGTCACTACATTGCCTAAAATGGACTTGAATTTTCAGTCCTCCTGCCTCAACTTCCTGAGTGTTGGCATTATGTATTACTACACCTTGCTCAATTAAAAAAAATTAAATTCAATTTTAACTTGAAGAAGGGATCAAATTCAGGGCCTCACACACACTAGGCAAGTAGTGTACCACTGACTTAATAGTCTCAGATCCAACCTTTCCAATTCTGTTTCACTTCATTTTCCAAACTGAGAATTTAGACATACTACGTACATTACTGATTAAAACTTGTGTCCTGTATTACTTCCAAATGAGCAACTTTTTTTTTTTTTTTGTATTTTGTGCAGGGTCTCACTATGCAGCTCAAATTCATAGTGATCCTCCTGTTTTCAGCCTCCCCAGTGATGACTAATTTCTTAACATATTTTTTATAACTTTAAAAAGTACTCAAGCACAGATCAACAAAATTTTATATGATATTATGTTTAAGTCTCACTTTCTTTTGTTTTGTGTTGAGACAATGTCTTAACTACCATATGTAGTCCAGTCTGGTCTTGAATTTGTGAGCTGCCTACAGGAGCCTCCTAAGTAGCTAGAAATACAGGCACATACCACAGTGCCTGACTTAATGCTCATTAATTTCAAATGGAGGGAAATATAACCAACTTTTCTTTTTCTTGTGGCCAGCTCAGCCTGCCCTGGGGGCAGGGCTGGCACAGCATATGGTGCCAGGGATGGAGTGTGGTCCCTGCGCCTTGCATAAGCTTGCCTAAGCAGGCACTTTAGACCACTGAACTATCCTGCCAGCCCCTTTTTCTTTTTTAAAAAATCATCTTTCTTTCTGTCTTTTTGAGACAGGGCTTCACTATGCAATTCAAGCTGGCCTTAAACTCACTTTGTAGCCCAGGCTGGCCTCTAGCTCCCATGGATCCTCCTGCTTCAACCTTCCAAGTGCTGGGGTTACAGGTATGTGCCACCACACCCAGCCTCATGTTTCCTTCACAGACTCTAGAGTGACTGTCAGCTTTTGTTCTAGCGACTGCATGCACTCGTTCTGCACGCTTGCTCTACCCACGCTTGCTCTACCACTTCCCTCCTTCGTGCTTCAACTGCTTCACATGTGAAACTGATATAGGGGAATGAAACTCCTGACCTGAAAGATACCTGGGATGAGTTTGTGTTCTCTAAAACTGAAGAATGAAATTTAGGAACAAATGGAGGTTAAGAGCAGATTATCTATGGGGGGGGGGGGGGCTTCTGTCCAATAGAGGACAGAAGGGGGACCTGGGAGGGTTGCCTCTCTTTTTCTTTTTTTAATAGAACTGATGAAATTTTGTGTCATCCTTGCACAGGGGCCATTCTAACCTTCTCTGTATTGTTCCAATTTTAGTACCTGTGCTGCTGAAATGAGCACAACCAGCTTTTCAATTATTATTGTAATATGGACCATTTAAAACCATAATCATAAAGCAGATAAGCAGCAATTTGTGGCATTCATTAATCATTTTAATAAACATTAACTCCTTTCTTGCCAGGAATACACAAATGAAATCTCAGTGAGCAAGATGAACCTTGTAGCTCACTGCTTTACAAAGGGAGCAGGCCTTGACTAAGTGTTAGGCCACAGGCAGTGGCACACTCCTGTTATCTCAGCTAATCCTCCTGGAGGTTGAGGCAGGAGGATTCATGAGAACTTGTCTCAAAAATACAAAAAGGGCTAAGGAGCTAAGCATGGTGGAGAATGCCTATAACCCCAGTACTGGGGAGGCTGAGCCTGGGCTACATAGAGTTTAAGGCCAGTCTGAACTACAAGGCAAGATGCTATCTCAACCAACCTAATAAAAAGTAAAATATGGCTAAGGACATAGCTCAGTGGTAGAATATTAGCCTAGAAAATATGAACTTTTGGCTTCAATCCTCCATACTAGAAAAGAACGAAAAATAAGTTAAACCAGTATGTACTGTAACCCATATTTACCCACAGTTTTGGAATGCTGTGATTTCTATTCTATTTGTTCTTCAGTTGGCAAATAGTGAACTGGAACCATTTTTCTGTACCATCAGCTATTTTGTCACGTTTTATGCAAACATTCCTGGTTCTGGAGGCAATATGAAATTATAAAAGGTGGCATAAAAACCTACTTTTTATTCTGGATTGATTTATTTTACAATGAAAATGCTTATGCTTTGCCAGGCTTCACCAGTTGAGATTTGGGGTTCTTAGCAGGCTGATTTTGCTCCCCGAGGAACCTGGCAATGTCTGAAGATACTGCATGTTGCTACAAGTGGCTGTCAGAGAAGTACAGTAGGTAGAGAACAGGGATGGTATTGAAGCATCTTATAGTGCACATGACAGTCCCCAAACAGAGAACCATCTGGCCCAAAACACCATGTGTGCCAAGATTGGAAAACTCTGCTCTTAATCAAAGACGTTGGTCATGCTTTTCCTGAGAAAAGTGAGTACTCTAGGTTTTGTGGGCCACAAATTATTTCTGTCCAGGATCCAGCTTTGCCACTGTAGCACAAAAGCAACCAAAGATAATAGTGAAAAACAAATAATGAACAAAATAACATGTGGCTGTGTTCCAGTAAAATTTTATATGCAAAGAACACGGAGATAGCTCAGTAGTCTAAGGGCCTGCCCAGCAAGTGCAAGGACCCAGGTTCAATCCCCAGTACTTCACCCCAGGTAGACCAAAAAGAGCCGGCCACCAAGACCAGGCATGGCGGTGCACCCCTGTAATCCCAGTGCTGGGAAGGCTGAAACAAGAGAATCACCATGAGTCCGAGTTGCATAGTGAGATCCTGTACCAAATACATAAAGTTTTTTTTAAAAAAATTATATATAAAAGAGGTGGCCAAAGTTTGCAAACTCTGCTGTAGAACAACATCTAAGAGGTGGCTCTTGCTTGTCACTCCAGGATGACAAGCGGAGCAGCAGTGTACTCAACAGAACTTCCTGCAGCGATGGAACTGTTCTGCACCTGCATTATCCAAAATAGAGGCACCCAATCTGATGCTTACCAAATAAAATGGAGGGAAGGGAAAAACACTGAAATGCGTTACACACATACACATTCTCTACAAGGGACATAACATATACTGTAAACATGTAGTAAGTAAAAAACAAAACATGTAGCCACTTGTTGCATGTACCCACTGAGCGCCTAAAGTACAGCTAGTGTGGATAAGTAACATTTTCCTCATACTCAAGTCAAATTAGTCAAATTTAAAAAGTCATATGTAGGTATACTAGGCAGTGCAAGTATAGAGCATGGCATGCTAAAATCCCTCAGTAGTAACCTGGCAGCCCTAACCTCATGCACCAGAGTTACCTTTAACCTTAGCTCAGAGTCACAGTCATGGGCAGCAGTTTTACCTTTCTAAGTCCAATTTCAGAACAGTCCCAAAGAAGGACAGTATAGTAAGATTCTCACGCATCAGGCAACAATCAAAAGTGACCTTCCAAGATTAACCCTGAACTATGTGCAGTAAGATCTTTCACTTGTTCTGCAGAAGCAACACAGTCAACAAGCCAATAATTAACTCATTAAACAAAGCCATGGAAAACTAATAGTAAAAAGGCTAAGGAACAAAGAAAAATGTTTGAATATTGGGTGGAAAAAGGCCATAAAATGGTATGTACAATGTGCACACATAAGAATGTTCTTAAAGTTTTATCAAGGCAATGGGTTACAAAACTTTTTCACACATCAAATTACACTACTTTTATATGAGGCAGAGTCATGCTATGTGGTTCAGGCTGGCCTTGAACTTGCACTGATCCTCCTGCCTCAGCATCACATGTGCTGGGATTACAGATGTGTATACCACATCTGGCTACTTTTGACTTTACTTTGTGTGGTGCTGGGTTTGAACTTGGGACCTTGCCAGTACTTTTGACTTTATTTTTATTTTCTTTGTATTTAGTGCAGGGTCACCAGAGTCTCACTACACAGATCACACTTGTAGAGATTATCCTGTTTTCAGGTTCTCCGGAAGCACTGGGATTATAGGCATATGCCACCACGCCCAGTCTCAATCACTGTTTCAGCATGCCCTGGGGATGGGGCTGGCACCACAGGCTAGGGATTGAACCTCTAACCCCTAGTACTTTTGACTTTAAAATATTTTCTGCAAATTTGTCCTTTCTGCTTTTGTAAATGTCTTAGGTGTCTAATAAAAGATAAAAAGTGTATTTTATTTTCCTTTCATAATCCTTAGATGGGTGAGTCATAGATATTGCCCAAAAATAAGCAAATCAAGGTTTACAAAGTGAGTGTGTGTGTGTGTGTCGGGGGTGGAGGGCCAGCCAGATAGCTCAGCAGACTAAAGTACCTGCTTATGCAGGCATAGGGACCAGGGTTCGATCCCCAGGCATGCTGTACTGACCCCTTCCCTGGGGCATGCTGAGAGGGCAACTGAGAGTAGGAATGGTGGTGTGCACCTATAATCCCAGTGTTTGGAAGGCTGAATACAGGAGGATCACTAGGAGTCTGATCTGTGAAGTGAGACCCTGTAGACCCTGTATTAAATACAAGCAACACCAAATCAAACCAAAGTGAGTGTGCTCCCAGAGCAGGAAGAATTAATAAGCACTACACTAACGGTAGTAGTAATAGTAACAGTAGTGCCAGCAGACTAACCCTTGCCTGGCACTGGCTACGAGCCAGGCACGCCTCAGCTCTTGGTGAATACCATCACTGCCTCCATCTCACACAAGACACTGAAGCACACAGGTGAAAGGATTTGCCCAAGAGGCTGGATTTCAGGGTTGGGCTGAGCTACTGAGTAGCCTGTTAGACACAGCTGTCTCAGCTTTCAAGAGGGCACAAGCTGCCCACGTCTCTGCAGCAGTCTCTCTGCTTGTGGGTGGTACAGCCAAAGTCATCTCTCAGAGAAGAGGGTGCCCCTCCTCAAGCTTCCTTCCTTACAAGTAAAGGGCTATTGATGGGCTCTAAGCAGAGAACGTGCAGGCTTTTTTTTTTTTTTTTTTTTTTTTGGAAACAAAAGTTCAGGCTGGCCCTGAACTTGGATTGATCTTCCTGCCTCAGCCTCACAAGTTCTGGGATTACAGAATTATGCCCAGCTGCTCAGGTACTTTTCTGGCTATTTCACATACAGTGTGCCTATTTACAATGGCTCAACACTGGAAGCGACCCACGCTGTTCACAGGTGCATGCACAGTGAGCGAGGGGCTTCTCCTGACCCACATGGTGCTCCCAAAAAGGATTAGCTGCTGGATGTGCCTCCCAATCAGCAATAAAAACCTCTGAAAAACAAAGCATAGGTTTTGTTCTCTTTCAGTAATATCCTGAGTGCTTCTGGCTAGAGAAATATTGCACACAACATATTACATAAACTATAGGCTTCCTGTGTCCCAGGAAGAGATTTTATACCCCTTTTTACCACTTTTAAGTTTCCTCAAGCTACCAAATAAGTGGCGTTAGCCTGTTTGCTCCAAACAAATAAAAGAACCCTTAATTATTGGTTCTTCTTTCCTGTGTCTGTCTTCCTGTGTTAACACACTGTTGATCCATTTTTATAGATGTACTGAGTCATACCTATAAAACAAATGAGCAGAAAAGAAAAAGCCCATATCCAGGTTTTAGGTGAAGGCCATGACTTCTGGAGATCAGGACGGAAGATTCCAGACTCGGCCACTCTAGGGCAGTGAACCACCCATCAAGGTGGCTGGCGAGAGGGGGCTGGCCCATGAGTCTTCCCGAAAGGAGTATCTCTCATTGTGCACATATACAGGGTTGGAGTGAGGGTCACCTAGCATTTGTGAGACCCAATAAGGTGCCCTCCAGCAATGCACGTGCGCACGTGCGCGCGCGCGCACACACACACATACACACACTATAAACCAAGAATGAAATAAAGACACTCAAATTTTTCTTTCTTTTAGAGACAGTCTCACTATATAGTTCAGGCTGGCCTTGAACTCATGGTGATCTTCCTGCCTCAAGCTTTCTACATAGCATTATAAGTTGTGAGCCACTACATCCAGATAAAATGCTCATCTTTGGAAAAATTCATCAGAATGATTTTTTAAAAAATGTATTAACTAGGTCAAATATCTTTATTCAAATTCTTTTTTTTCGGTACCAAAGATCTTTATTCAAATTCTTTTTTTTCAGAACCTTGCACTTGCCAGGCAAGCACTTATTCTACTGAGCTATCTCCTCTGCCCAAAGACTTTTATTCTAAAAATATGAACTTTTAACTTTTTGCAACTGAAGTATGCAACACACATACCTAATCTGGAGATTAGTCAGCTGGCTCCATTTCTGGCTAATAAGGAGGTCCTAGACCCCTGAGAAGTTCAGTTCATGATGAACAAATGGTCTTTATTTTGCCTTAGACTAAATCAGCAGGTACCAAAGTATAATCCATCAAGATTGACGCTTC